TCCAGTATCCCAGAGACAGGTGCCAGACAGCCAAGCACCATGCCTGTAGCTTTAAGCCCACCCTGCACATTCAAACTAGCTGATCCTAGACATTTCACCCTGCGTGGCCTTTCCCACAAAAGCCCCAGTAAAGGCTCTGACCTAAACCTATCCCATAGCCCTGTCCTTTGCTCCTGACCACAGAAATGGCTGCTCCAAGAGGCTCTCCGGTGTGCCCAGGCCTCCTGTCTCAGGACCTGAGTGTAGCAACTCTGTTTTCCTGACCCTCTCCTGCGTCTTCACTTGGTTCTGGAATGGAGTGTATTCGAATCACTTCACATCACAGGAAGCTTCAATGCTGGTACCTGCCAGCGCCGGCCCTGGCCTGTCCTGACATTTCCTTTGATACGGGAGACATCAAAAAGCCTGGTTAAATGGTCCCCAGGTTCCTCACTAAAAGCTTGGCTTGTCTCCACTCCTGCCAAACTCAGAGGACCACGGTGAATTTCTCTCCCCTTCTTCCTTGCCTTCAGGTTGCAGGAAGTGTCTTCACAGGTGTAATGAAAAACACAGCGTATTCTGCTACAGAGCACCATCCAACAGAAAGGCAGGCTCATTCCAACACTGGGTGAGTCTTCGTCCACGTTACTCACAGGATCTGGCGCAGTAGAACTTCTGGCTCTCCCCAGAGTGAAAATGACCACGAAAGGTAAATTTGTGACTCGATTCAGGACACCGAGGCAGCCACAAGAGCTCCACTAGTGAGTCGGGAAACAGAACTTACAGAACTGCTTCAGAAACATGGGATGTTGTTTCTGAAGCAAGGGGGAGGCCATTGAGAAGAATTAATGCATCTTTTTCTGTAATGAATTTCTAATTTATTAAGCATTCACTGTACTTTTTAATCACACCTATCTGATGTAGTTTGTTGTGCCAATCTGTAGAATGTACGTGCTTTCAGAAAAATTCCAGACGAAACAAAAAAATTGAAAAATAGCAGAGGATCTGGCAATGACACCAGCACTGCCTGGTAAGTGAGAGAAGGCAGGAAGAGCTGGATCAGAGTGGAGTCAGGGGCAGACAGAGGAGGAGACAACAGGTGCGTCCTAGGGAGAGAGGCCGAGAGCAGTGCCCACCCCACAGACACTGTGCACGGCAGTTAGGAAGACGCCCTCGAATCGGCTAGAGCTTCACTAGTTAGGCACGCAGAAGACCAAAAGGGATTCAAGAAGAGAATAGGCAAAAACTAAAATTAGTGGGAAGGCCAAACGTGCAGATTGGCCTCCAAAACTAAGTTAAAATCTCACTGGGGCTGAGGGAGAGTAGCATTTGGCAGCAGTGAAGAGCTGCGAACGCCACGGAGGAGACGATTGTGCCTGAGGGAGGGCAGCCACGGTGCCACTACAGAGGAAATGGAGAGCAAAGTGGAGAGGCCGCACGGCACCTCAAGGCACCTCACGGCATCTCACGGCAGGGCCGGCAGCCACAGGCTGTGACCTCCGTCCGGGATGTGCAGAAGGCAGGCTGTGCTTCCCGAGGGGCCACGGAATATCCGTGCTGATAAAACACACTTTTCTCTATATCCAAAAAGTAAGCTATTGTTTAGTGACTTATAAACCAGTGGGAAAAATCAGCACACTGCTATCAGTGGTGTATCAGCTTAAATATATAAAAGCGACAGAGAAGCATGAAGTTTAAGGGAATCTTTACAGAAACCCAGAGAACATCTCTATGATGTGACAATTTACTGACTGAAAGGAAGGAACAGCTAAGATGCAGATATTTCCATATCCAAATGCTTGATTCAACGGGAGGAGGTGTGGGTCAATCACAGACTGAGGCCCATCGATTTAGGTCAGGTGGTACCTTGTGGCATTTTAATAAAGTCCTGTGTAAGGTTAAATAAGAATAACAGTTTGTATAATGAATGAAGTGGGAAACTTTTAACTACAAATCTAAGATATCCAGAATAGGTTCCTTTTTTGGTTTATTAAAATAAAACTACATTTCTATGCTTCTCACAATACATGATCAGGATACAAATCAATCATTTCCAAGTAAGTTTCACTCACAAAAGCAAACAGCATTGTTTTATAATACTTTGCAGTAATTCTTTTTACAACACTCTAACATTTCTTTGTACAAGTACTTCAACACCTTCCGTCAAGACATTTAGCCCTTTAACGAGAAATAAGGTCAAGAGTTTCTTTCAAAGCAATCATCAGTTTGTATTAAACTAAAATGCCATGCGGCAACTCTCAGGTTCCTAAAAAGAGTATTTATGTACCATAGCCATAAACCTCAATGATAGACCATATCACTTCTAAACACTAGAACTATGGATAAAAATCTGCATTCTATTATGCAATGTTTTCTTCTAGATCTGAACTGCAACATTATATACCCCAATTAACCTTTATATTAATTCTGCTATTTATCAGTAAAAAAGCCAAGGTTATTGACAGCTGATCTTTCCACCAAAGGAAAGTGCTAGGACCACTTATATTACAATTTTCTGTGCTTATTCTTTCGAGAGGGGGAAAAATACATCAATTCAATGCAACATTTCATGGTACAAAATGCAAGCAAATTCTGCCTTCTGTTCGCTACTGTTTTGTCTCCTTAAAGAACTACCTAAGGTAATGTTTTCCACAGGATATTAGTGAGAGGCACACAAGTGTCCCAATGGGGAAAAAGGTCCTGAGGTCAAGACAGTTTGGGAAATGCTGGGTCCAACAGGCATAGCGCTGCCAAGGGGAAAGTGGACGGGAAGTTGTCAAGGGCGGTTTTGGTCCCCAGTAGCCCCTGGTACACGCACGGCACATCCGCCCGCTGCTCGGGGCTGCAGGGAATCGGCACTCTGAGCTTTCACCCACCCTCGGGACTTCATGAGACTTAACAGATCGCAGAAGGAAGGCGCAGTGCTTCTCGGCTCCTCGTTCTACACACTTTGCTCTCGTGTTTGCCTTGGTTTTTCTTAGAATTTTAAAAGAGCAAAAGTCCTTCCTTTCTTCTGAATTACTTAAGACATTGTCAGTTTAAAAAACAGAGTGCAGTTTCATATTGCTTATTATTGGGGTCTTTTTAAAACTCGACTCACAGTTTTCCCCTGAAGGGCATGCACTTCGGTTTTACAGAAATGCAATAGAGTAAACTGTAATAAATTATTTACAAGCACCTAGTTTGATTAACATGGAAGCCATCCACTGTTATAAAACAATGAGAATTTAATCTGTTAGCAAAACAGTGCTATCTGGAAGCTTTATTGCAATGATTTTTCCCCAGAAATGAGGCACTGAAGAATGAGTTGTGCTAAATGAACTCAAGGGTCAGCTTGCCTGGATGAACATAACTTTGGTTGAGATTTTTCTCCCTTAAAAAAGGTTGTGAAGCACCAGTTAATCACCAGAAAGCGTATGTATTTATCCTCACAGTGAGCTGGGTGGTGAGAGAGCTAGCAAAGTGCATTGCCCAAGCTTGTGACTGAATTTTTTGAAAATATCAAAAAGGAGGAGTAAAGCAAGAGAAACCACAGTCTCTCTTTCCAGGCTGGCAAAGCAGCAGCTCTGCAGAAGTGACAGGCAGAGCAGACGCCCACTGGGAAGTCAGTCCTGGCCTTCACTTTCCGGCTAAGTTTCATCGATCCCGGATTTACAATGCAGAGGACAAAAAAAAAAGAAGGAGAGGGGGAAGAATGGAAGGAGAGAGAAAGGAAGGGACAGTGAAAAGGAGGGAAGAGAGGACGAAGAGGAAGGGGAGGGGAGAAGGGAGGGCGGGAGAGAGACAGGCAGGCAGGCAGGCAGGCAGGCTGACCAGTGAAACATTTCACGTTCCCGTTAAGAGACACCCGAGGGATCAGCAAGCTCCCTGGGCGACCCCGAGAACAAGCGAAGGGAAGGGCTCCCCCGCCCCAGTTTACTCTTTTTATTTTTATTTATTTATTTAGGTACCGGGGATCGAACTCGGGTCCTTGCACTTGTCAGGCAGGCAGCAGAACCGCTGAGCTAAATCCCCGGCCCTTCCGCCCCGATTGATAAAACGGCAAGTTAAAAGGTGAAGAGCTCACCCTACATCGTGGGCGACAACTCACAGTGACTTTATAGAACTCCAGTTCCTACAAATGGAAGAAAAACGTATTTCACACACAGAATCTGAGAACTCAACAGCACAGCATTGCTGCTGAGTTCAGGCAAGATTATTTCATACGACACGAAGTCAGTATCCCTCCCTCTCCCGACGCACACCTGTCATTCACAAGATACTGTTAGTGTTTACAATCCACACTTAACAAAGCACAAACTTAATTCTCGGTACTTTTATACTAAATCCAAAACATCTACGCAAAAGTCATCAGAAAAGATTCCTAGTTCCATGATAAAGTGGAGCTAAGGGACAGAAAATCGTTAGAAAAATATTTTAACATTATGCAATGTGTATGAAATCACCATAATTACCACAATTAACTAACAATTATGCTCCCTGCTCACAAAAGGGCTCTACCCATTAAAAGCAGACCAATTTTAGAATTATTTGCCTCTACATGGCATTGAGCCTTAGGCATATAACCAACATAAATTTCTTACAAAACATGGTTTTCCTCAAAGCTAAAACTCCTTACGTGCCTCCCACCGTTCACCAATCAGTAGGGTCACTGTACATACCGCACGGGTTGACACCGCACAACTCCAGTGAGTGACTTTCCCCCGGAGTGGGCGCAGGGCAGCACCAGGGTGCAGGACATAAAAGCCTGGGACAGCCATCTGCAGCCAGGCACTGTACATGATCGGAGCGCACCAGGCTGAGCTAATCACATCAGAGCACATGCTGCGTGGCTGGAGGATTTCTAAGACACAGCTGTACCTGCGAGAGGCAGTACCTAACCCTCAAGGGGTGAAAGGGGCACAGACATAAAACAGGAGGGGATTTTTTCTTTTTTGGGGGGGCGAGGGTACCAGGGATCAAACTTGGGTCCTTGTGCTTGTGAGGCAGGCAGTGGAACCACTTTTTTTCCAGTACTGGGGCCCGAACTCAGGGCCTTGCACTTATGCGGCAGGCACGGGCGTCACTGAGCTAAATCCCGGGCCCAACAGAAGAGTTTTTAAATACTTGCTGGTCATTTAAAATTCAATGGCACTTTTTTCTATGAGCAACAGTTTTCAGTACCGATTTTCTGGCCAACTTTACCTTCAATTTTGCCGGCCAAATTTACCACCCAACGTTAACTACTGAATCACAATATCTCAGTTCCTGACCTAAATTAATACTAACCGTTTTCGTGTAGCTCTTAAAATGTTTTCTCAATCTGACTGCAGAGAACAACAGCACAGTACGTCTGGGAGCAGCGTCTCTCAGCCCATTCCTCTGCAAAGCATTTTGGGAAGAACAGGGCTCCCACTCAGAATTTAGCCGTCAATAGCAGATGAAATTGGAAAAGAGTGAATGGATGATTCGACTACTGTGAAAAGGAAACGTTAACCATTAATCAGAAAATACACCAATGAATCACCCAACAGCATCGCGAATCCGACACAAGGTCCAGTTCTAGAGTTCTAGTGTACGTCTCTGTGTCCATCAGAGCAGTTAGTCCATAAGACTTGCACTTAAAATGTAAGTCTTTAATAAACTTCAAAATAATTTATTGAGATTTCATCTAGGAACCTACTGATTATGAGCTGCAGACGGGGGCTGAGGGCCCCCAGAGTGGTCTGCGGGCCGCTGCAGGTCTCAGGCCAGGAAGAGCGCGGTCCGCAGCGGGAGAAGGCACTTGTCTTCTGAAGGTCACCTCGGGACGGGGACGGGGTGGGCCCGGTCAGACGGCACCTGCAGCCCTGAGGCCGGAGGATGAGCACGCGAGGGACTCGGCTCCAGCCCTGCACTTGCCAGGGGTGCCACCCATTACCTACAGCACCACAAAACTCAGAATATACTCTAGGAGTTTCTGCCGGTTGCATTGAGGTAGGAAAGTGCTGCTCAGTTCCAAAACAGATACTCTCTTTTGCTTGGTCTCTTTGAAAACCTGAAGAGAAAATGCAAACTAAATTAAAAGCAAAACAAACAGGAGGCGAACATTCCTGTCAACAACCCTGTCTGTCCTGTGTCCTGGAGCCCAAAGGGCAGTGGGGGGACACAAAGCCGTGTGCCGTGTGAGGGAAGCATGGCTGGGCAGTGTGTGAGCACCAGGCAGGTCGTGGTACAGGTGTGGGTGCTGCCCGAAGTGCAACCAGTGTACCACGCTTCAAGCTTTATGCCAAAGTGACAAACAGTCTCCTAGAAAGGCAACTGACGGCTCTGCAGGGCTCAGGTCCCTCACGCCAGGTGACGGTGAAGGACACCTGGGCACACTCCTAGCAATACTAGTAAAAACACAAGGGTTAGGGTTAACAACTGAAAATCACACGGAACAATTAAAGGCTGAACTTGGGATAGGATCTTGAAACATACCGATATCTATTATATAGAAACAGTTGGGAATAAATGTAAAACCAGTAAAATTTGGGGACAAAAAAATCCATACTGACGGATGACACTCTCAACCTGTCCCTCTCCACCCTCATCCCTGGAAACATCCTCCAACCGGAACTGTCAGAAGTGCTTCTCCTGGGGTCCAGCCCACCCACCGCCAAGGCCGGCAAACCAAGCATCTACATTGAACAGGGAACAGAGAGCACCTACCCCGACACCCTTAAACGTTTTCACGGCATTCTTCACGAGGCAGTACGTGGCACTCTCAGCTGCGGAGAAACAAGAAGGCTCCGTCAGCGTTTAGGCCCACACAGAGCAGCCGGGGAGAGGGTCACGGCGAGGCTGCCGCAGACAGGGCAAGCGCCACTGAGCAACCTGCTGTCCCTGTGAGCCTAGTCTTCCATCTCCTACAGTTTACAAGACTCAGAGACTGAAGGGAAGGGACAGAAGGAAGGGGAACTACCTAAAGCATCTACCCTGCAGGGTTTTTGTGAAAATAGGTACAAACATATGACATAGTTATACACAGATGATCCCTACACCAGCAAAGTCAGAAAGAGCACAAGTCTAGGGGTCAGAAAACAAGAATCCTAAATCCATGTTTTACCATTATCTAGGTATATCGACTTTCCCCATCCAAAGAGTAAAGCGACTAAATTAGATGATCTCTAAATAGCTTTTGCTCTAAAACTTGATTCAACATAATTTCCAAGCCGTAACTGTGAAATGCTATTTCCACACCAATCACAACTCTTAGAAAAAATGCTGACACCGACAACGTGAAGACCTGGCCAGGGCATGGCGCTCCTGAAACACTGTAGGAAAGCAAGTGCGCAGGGCACTGGCAGACCCTACTGAGGCCGGATGTGCCCATGGGCTGTGCCCACGCAATCCCATCCCTGGGTCTGCACACAGGCCGCGTACAGGACCAGATACTCACCCAGAGACACAGACAGGCTCACAGAAGCCCTATGCAAAGTGGCGCAAACTGCAAACAACCCAAACATCCACCAGCAGCGTGAGGTAGATGCTTACATGTCAGAATACAGTGCCCGAAACACATCACAGGAGCAAGAACAAAGAAAACTGCACGTAATGTGTATGCGTCCCACAAACAACGTGAAGTGAAGAAAGCCAGACAGCAGAGTACATACCTGGTCATTTAATGCATACGACATATCAAAGCAGATCAATAGTACTAATCCACAGGGCGGTCAGGATAAGTTTGCATTTTTCTAATTTTCTATAATTTTTACCATAGTTTTAAAAAGAAGTCAAAATGGTCCCTTAACATACCGTAAACTGCAATATTTCTTTCTGTCCTGGTCAGTAGGTATCTGTGCAGCTTCTGCAGATATTCTGGCTCCGGAACAGGACCGCTGAAGTTATGGACGAAGATGGCAGCCGAGCTGTAGGCCTCCAGCAAGGGCCCCAGGAGCCTCTGCAGGAAGGTGAGGAACTGCTGGTGCTCCTTGGACTGGCTCACCTGAAGTGCAAGAGCAGGAGATGAAGTCACGGGCCGCACACAGGAGAGGCCACGCGAGCTGACGAGGCCTCTCTGTGGAGAAGACAGCCACTCACACGGGGGTAGGTGCAAGCAGCCTACTGCTCCTCATGCAGAGAATCTGTTGGAAATAGCTGCTGATACTGAAATGTGTTCCTTATTGCAATCATTCACTTTTACAGTGTTTGAAGCTTGACTTCCTTCAACAAACACCTAGAAGAAACTTTCATAACTGAAGGACATAATTATGACACACTGTCATCACTGAAGACAGCTGCTGCTGTGGCCGAGCCCTCCAGTGGCTAAACCTGAGCTCTGCAGCCATTCTTGTGCGCACGGCTCCATAAGGAAACCACCAGCATCATCCCAGCCCTCCCCAGCTCCCACTTCCTGCCCCGTGAGGCCTGCACCACAGGAGTGCCTGGAGGAGGGAGGCCACGGTGAAGGAGTGCCTCGCCTGTCCTACTCAAAACACACAGGTTCCCTGACGCCCCTCCAGAGTGTGGAAGATCGCCACCCAATCCTGCAACTGGTAATACTCAAATGACAATGAGAATTCCTAAATGTCTTTTGAAAATAAAAATACTGCCTCGCAGGGAGCACAAGCGTGGCTAAATAAGCAGGTGCCTGTGCATTTCACGAGTGACAAGAGGTACACCTGTGGCCTCCTCCTTCCTGGCTTTTCTATTTTCATTTCCTTTTCCACTTACCAATCCCCAAACAGAACCATGTAAAGTACTAAGTTACATGGTTTGACTCTTTACTCTCAAGAAGGCACCAGAGCTGGTCAGTGGGTGCATTAGATACAAACGAATGGACCCATGTACAAGTTCATCTGGATACAACAGAAACCTCAACTCATCGCTGTGACGTGCCCCTCAGTTCTTCACCAAAGTACCTTCAGGTAGCAATCTCGCTGCTCCTCACCAAAGTCACTGTCTTCGTCTTCTTCATCACTTCGCCAAGACAATGGTGCAGGAAGCTTCTTGTCCCACTGCTGCTCTGCAAGACCAGGACTGATATCTTCCTGCTCATCTTGCTACGCCAAGGAGACGGCCAACAGTAAAGGGATATGCACAGACACGAGGACAACTGCCCAGCTGGCCCGGACGAGGCGGCCTTCTCTCTTCTCGGTCCCTTCCCACCCCTCTATGTTGGGCCATCCCCACCACCCATCCACCTCCCTCTCTAGCCAAAGCCACCCAACAGGGAGCAGGAAGAGGGAAACAGCTACCAGACAGATCAAGTACCAGTGCCCTCACATCTTCTAAATGACTACCCCCCTACCTCCCTAGGCCCTGCCCTCTATACTACATCTACCAAAGTCAAAATCTCCTAAGGGAAATATGCACTTGTGCAAGCTATGAGCATAATGATATGTACACATCCTCTTTAGAACGCAACTTCCGGTGCCACAGAATCAAGCTGAGCTGTGCGTTAGTTAACGCCACTTACACAAAAGAAAGCAAAATATCAATCCCAAAAGGCATTTACTATCCTCTGTCATTTCTCTCTTCTCATTTGGACATGATTATATAGAAAATATAATTGTGAATTAAAATGATTGGTAGAAAACAGTGGTTTAAATAATGGATAGTAAAGATCAGAAAATGAAGACAAATAAAGGAAGACTTCCTCTTACCTCTGCCACTGTAAGAATGCCATACTGAATAAACCTTCCCACTGTTTCATGGCAAACTTGGTAAAAAGTCTGGCAGGGCTGAAAAGAAGTCATTGAAACATTAAATGTCACGGTTCTATATTTCTTTTCTTAAAGACAAAATGAATACAAAGTAACTGCCAAATGCATTCGCTCAACCACCTAATCCACTCTCCCCAGCAAGAGCCATTCTCCTGATTGCCAGCACTCGCTCTTGATAAATGCCTGGTGCATAGGTTAAGGCCTCAAGCAGGGGAGACCTCTATCCCCTGACTGGCAGCTCACCTAATGCAGCACCACCTGCAGAGGGCGCTCCCGAGCTGTTTCTGCCTTCAAAAGAGCAAGCTATAAGAATTGGGGCCCCTTCTCAGGCCCCGTCACCTGTTTCTTTTTCTTTCTAAGACAAGCTCTCTGCAAAGCCCATCTTACAAAACAGATAGCTCACAACAGTAGTGAATGAGAAAACACGACATTCCAATACCTCTAGAAGGACCCAAGGAAGGACAAGGTCAATCACACTGTCCCACTACCCAAAGTTCATACAAAACAGGTTCCCCCAAAAAGGACGACCACCAACCACACAGCAAGAAGATGTGAGGGGGCTACTCAAAACCCAGGTCCTCATACCTGAATGGCTCAAGACACATTCACATAAGGGAGAGAATGTTAGAATACAAATAAAATACGGTTCCACTTGATGACTGTGAGGGGGGAAAATACATTGCTTAAAATATGTGCCTTATTTCAAATGTCTAAAAGTGCTGTGATAATACACACTTGTACTGCTTGGCCTTAGTTTCCCCATTTATAGATGGATGGGATGTTGAACAAATGACTATTAAAACCATTTCACACCGGGTGTGGAGGTGCATGCCTTTAATCCTAGCACTCGGGAGGCTGAGGCAGGAGGATTGCTGTGAGTTCGAGACCAGCCTGACCTATATAGTGAGTTCCAGGTCAGACTCAAATACATAGTGAGACCTTGTCTCAAAAAAATAAATTAATAATAAAACTGTTCATGACTCTCTTGTCACCTGTGGTTTTATCAATTGCCGGTGGGTGTGTTACTGATGAACCACTGACCCAGTGCCTCGCACACAATAAAGGCTTGGTGACTTTGGATCTGACCAACTGAGATGGTTGAACAGTCTGTCTTCTCATGCCTCAGCCACATGAAGGCTTCATGGGGCAGAGAGCCAGATTTAAATCAAGATAGCTAATGCTGTATTGGTTTGGTGGCAGTGAAACACAGAACTAGAAAAAAAGCCTGCAAAAATGGGCCAAAAGTCTTGTGAGAAATAAAGATGGTTTATGTTTTCACACAAGTGTTCAAGTGAGAGAGAAGAGGTAACCCAGAAGAGCCTTCACTCACGAGAGAAATGGTGCCTTCATTGGAGAGCAGATAGCACAGGCTGGCGGCCTTCCGCACCAGCTGCTCCTGGCTGACCATGCTGCCAGAGGTACCGGAGGGCCCTCCTGAGCCCCTCTTGTTCATAACTGTGTACAGGCTGCAGGCTAAGGAGATAAAAGTCAACAACAGTCACTGCCAAAATGTCTCCAAGAAAAACCAACTGGTCCAATAACCTGGGTTTAAGAAAGTGCTAATGTATCAAAACAACGGCCTGTGTTTGCTCGAGGATTCTAAATAAAACCCCACAGGATTCAATTTCTGTGATTCCATTGAGATTTCAACTCCATCAGAGAACTTCCGGAGGCTCAGATCCCTCCGCTCTCCTGCCTCTCTAACTGCTGGGTCTTCCACTCTCTTCACTGCCTTGCGTGCCATCTCGATTCATTTTCAGTTCCTGCACAGCAAGCCATCCTACCTCTCTTCCTCAGTAGTAAGGACACCACTACGCACACAGTGATTCACGAATGACTGATCATAGTCATAAATAGTGATATGGCAGCAGATTACATTTCCATGTGAAAACTAAAAACACAGCAATGCAGTCCACAAACAAAAGGCCATTCTCCAGAGTACACACCGCCACGTGATTCAGGCCTTTCTACTTTCCAAGAAAATACTTTGAGTGTTTCAGGCCTGACCTACCTATGATGGCCTCCATGATAAAGACATGAAGCACCCCGTTGCTGTAGAAGTTCAGTTCAAAGACTGATGGGACAGTTGTGCTGGGAGTAATAAAAAATTCACCATTCCTGCTGGTGTGCGTGATTGTAACACAATTTCCCAGCAGCTGTATAGCATGCATGACAACATCTTCAGAATTTCCGGAGAATCCCAGGTCAAAATCCCGAGCCAGAACTTCCTCCTTCATCACAAAGAAGTCTTCTACCAATGTGGAGAGATCAATCCCCTAAAGAAATGAAATGGTGTCACAACAGCGGAAAACCTACTTGTCAAGAAGCCAGTGGGGCCAACATCCCAGGAGTTCTTGACTTGGCTTTCCCTCAGCTTGACACTCTGGCACCTACAGGAATAGGCCCAGGTCACCAATTCAGAGCAAATAAAAACCCCTGAAAAAACTGCTCCCCCAGGGGCATCGTGCCATTCCGCCCGCCAGGGGCCACTCTGGCCACACCATACATGAGGGTGTTCCGACCACAAAAAGAAGGCAGAGCTATCTGACAGAGAGCAGTGCTCATTTTTTAGCTAGAACTACCTTCATTTTCAATATTATTCCACAAATATTTATCTGGTAACCACAGGCTGGCACTATCTGGTGCTGAAAACGTTGACTGTCCCATGGCAGAGCTTGCACAAGTGCATTGTGGGAGGGCAGAGAGGGGTTCTAAAATACAAATCAAGGCATTTGGATACTTCACCATCTGAACATATACTATGTGTCAGTGAAATGTACATTACTGACTTTAATCACATTGATCAAGACATGTCTTATTACTTACTACATGTATTAAATAATCCCACCTTTCCTCCATGTACCTCTCTTCTTTTACCAGGTTTGTAAAGCCCTTTGGGCAGAGTCCTTCCTTCTTTTTTTTTTTTTTTGAGACAGAGTCTCTTTATGTAGTTGAGACTGACCTGGAACTCACCATGTAGCCCAGGCTGGTCTCGAACTCACAGCGATCCTCCTGCCTCAGCCTCCCAAGTGCTGGGATTACAGGCGTGCACCACTACACCTGGCTCTAGAGTCCTTCTTTTATTTCACTGTTTATCCCACGGTAATAGCCAAGAATGGTCCAAAGCTACCCTGAGTGAGTGTCTGAGCAGCTGGCAAACACGCTTGGGCTTTGCACCGACCTGCAGGTGACATCTCAGAACCTACCTGCCGGTGTCTGTAGAGGAGCAGGCAGGCCACAATGTGTGTGGACATAATGGCACAGGACTTGCTAGCAGCTGGAAGGCAAACACAGAGCTTAGTTGCACTTGTTTCTAATACTGCTGAAGCCCTTTTAAGGTGCCTTAATTGTAATCAGGAGTATTTAAAACTGTAAAAGTCCTCACTTTATTTCCTCTAACTGCAGTTTGCCAAAGGGAAGCTGTAACATTCCTTAGTGGTGGCAAGAGGAAGCTCAATCTGCATCACTGTTCAACATGCCAGGCCACAGGTCCACCATCAACCCAGGCCAATGGAACCACGATACTGAACGATCAAGGGATCGAAGTACCAAGACCCCAGGTAGGAGCCGTTCTAGAGTTCAACTTCCCTTCTCTCGTTCATGTCTCTTGATTCATTCTCATTCACCACATTAAAATGAAAAGTGTCATAAAGCTAGAATAAAAGAAGATTTGAGGGCCGGGGATTTGGCTCAGTGGTTCTGCCACCTGCCTCGCAAGCACAAGTACCCAGTTCAATCTCCGGTACCAAAAAAAAAAGATTTGAAGTCAGAAAAATCTGGGCTCAAATCCTAACCACTGCACTAATTAAATTTCATGACTTGGGGGAAATTACATAAATTTCTGAGCCACGATTTCAAAAATACTATATAGCTCACTAGGTGAGATGGAAATAAGGACCAGGCAAAGACTTAACAGCAAGGGTACTCAATATAGCTTCACTTTCTCTTTCCAACCTGGCCCAGAGATGAGGACAGACACAGAAATACATTTGATGTCATGCACAGTGTACAGCCTAACTATGAATTTTCAGAAAACTATCATATGGATAATTATGTGAATTTCTATGGAATAATTTGAAACAAGGACATTACTTAATGAGTTTTCTGAGCAATTACAGTGAATTCATGAGTACTTCACTCACAGTTGAAGTTTCTAGTGTTTGGAAAAAAAATATTCAGTATCATATTTACAGCCATTAAAAACAGTATTTATAGAGTTCTTAAAAACATTAATACATGTGTTATCAGTGGAAAGTAGCATTATAAAACTGCAAAATATGTTTAAAAACCTGACAGCAACACACTGGTTACTGGGGTAGCAGGTCTGCTACTTATTTCACCTCTACTGTCCAACTTTTCAACAATTAGCATGTGTTATTTTCTGCATCCAGATCACAGGCAGGGGAGACGCACAATCAGATGGGCTCAGACAGACTGGGCATGTGGTGCAGCGGGAGCACTGCTAGCATCCGCGTGGCTCTGGGCCCCATCCCCAGCACCTCAAAAAGAAAAAGGATCCTCTGGAGGATTCAAGTGAGCAAAGGAGCAGCCAGGGTGGAAGGGGGCACGCAGCACCGGCAATTCCACTGGACCTGGTACAGGCAGGCGAGAAGAGACCCCACGGGCTGAGCAGCCCGGGACCACAGCGCTGGCCCAGGACTGGGAGCCGCCTGGCCAACAGCGCATGGGCTGCAACACGGAACTTCAGGAAGCTTGCTGCACCCCAACTCGCACCCGCCCCGAGTCTGTGTGTGACCAGAGGTGTGTGTGCACAGCAGCTCTGCCAAGGAGAGCAGAACTTCTCTGACTACAGGACCGTTAGAATCCCATTTATGTTCCCACAGCTACCACAAAGCCGTAGCGTAAGAGCCACTTAGTATTTCCTGAATAAAAATACTCACGGAGTCAGAGGAGAAAGGGACACACACATAAACCTACATGTTGGACCTATAATTAGTTCAAAACATATTCACAAACAAAAGAAGCCACAAATTTGGACGGCACTGTTTTTGAAAAGGACAAGAACAACCACACCTAACGCTTTCCAGCACTGTAAGAGAAGTTTTACTCAAATATGAACAAAGCCCCCAACATTGCCTTCTTTCTAACACTTTACCTCCCACCACTTGTAGGTTAGGTAACTGAGCCGGAAGGGCAAACTATCCTCAGCAGATTTGGAAACCCGGGCGATTTGCAAGGCACCGTGTCGAATCTGAACTGCAGAACAAAGGATTGCAGAATTCTACTTACTGAACAGAATGTGCTCAGCCAGATTTGCAATCAGCCTCCGCCGGAAGGATTCATCTGCTGCATTTCGGGACTCGTTATTGGACATATCCGCACCTTCAGCAGCAGCATCATTGGGTCTGAAAAGGACTCTGGAAGTCAGTCTTCTACAGCCCACACTTCCCAAGGCAAACGACACGGACTAGTCAAAAGTGTATACCGGCCACTTCAAATTCCTACATATTTTAAACTTAAGCCACCGGTGGGTTATTTCAATGGGTTGTTTTCCTCCATAATATACTTTATTATTTTAATATATTCTCTTGGGTAAAAAGTGTTGTTTCATTGCTATTACAGAGTCTAACAGTATATTCCTTTCAAAATTCACTGCAAAAAGAATGCAGAACGCAAGGTGCCACGTTTTCAGATGTCTGAAAACAATACGTTCACCTACTGAAGGAAGAGCTTCACATCAAATTTCTCTAAGTTATAATTCAACTTGAATTCCAGAAAATTCAAATAGCAGAACAGTTTCATTTGTGCACAATATGTGTAACCTAAGCTACTAGCAAGAAGAATTCAATTCAAATATTCGAAAGCATAAATCAAATAGGAACTCCTATACAACTTACAAAATCAAAGATTTTACATGCACATAATCAAAAACCTCCAAACTAATATTAAAACACGTTTCAATATCCCTTATCATATTAAGAGAAAAGATATTGGGTTCGGGAATGAGTAAGAAGCAGCATGTTCTTAATAAAGTTAAGCAATCTACTTTTCCAAGCAATATTAGAAATAAGTTATTTGATAGTTTAGTTAATACAAAAAAAAAAAAATTCTGCAACTCTTACCGTGAAGGAAGTATAGCTGGTAACAACGCCTGCTCCAGAGTGAGTGGATCAGACACAGGTTTCTGACTCTGGCTTTCTAAATATTCCTGGGGGGGAGGGACATGATCAGTGGCCTTATTGTCTTGCTTTCACATCAATACATAAAATATATTTTGGTCTTCAAGGGTTAAAAGAAAACTTTATAAATAAGCAATGCCATGGAGAACATGGGAAATACCTTCTCTATCCTCCAATCTGTGGAAGTTCAAATTTTCACTCACAGAACATTAAGCGTGAAATTTAAGAAATGAAGACAATGAATAGAATGATGTTCAAATAAAATCATTGTTAAATTTTAACTTTTCTCACATCTTCATGGAAAGTGCTTGACATTACTAATCTTAGTAATAGTGATAATAGTGACAACCATACTTTTTGAAGAAAAAATAGCAACCTAGGAGTCACGTAATATTCAAAAGAACTCCAAATCATATTAAAACAGAGCTATGTGAAACAGTTTAGAAAAATAAAAAATTAAAGGACAAGTTGGAAGAAATGGTGAGGTTCCTTTAAACTGATAGCACTTAAGACTAGAAAACATCTAGTACAACAGTTAGAATCTTTCAAAGTTGCGCCAAGGAACAGAACAGAAATAAGGTCAGACCTCTGCTCCTTATTCTTGGGTTCTTTACCATCTTTTCCTTCTCCCTGACCAACTTGAAAATCTTAGGTATTTAAAAAGCGAACTGACAGCTCCCGACTTTACTGAGGATGACATTCTCAGCATATGTGGGTACTGGATTCTACTCAGTAGGGTACAGCATTGTCCTAACTATCAGTTTTACCCTGCTTTCGGCAATAAGCATTGAGCCTCACATCTCCCATACACAGGCTCAAGTCAGTAGAAAATTTAGGAGATGGCATTCTTAGCACAGCCCTCGTTTTGTAGAAGAGGAAAAAAGAGACCCCAATCACACAGCAGTGAGGAGGGAGTTAGGACAAGAGCCCAGGTTTTCTGCTGCAGGTCAGTGCTCTAACAAAGTCTAGTCCAACAGATTCTCACCTTTAAGGAAAATGGTTGTGCAAAATCCACTCTGACATATCCATAGTTTTTTCGTAACATTCTAATAACACCTCTTGCTACACTCCAAAGGCTCTCATTTTTCTTAGGTTTACCCTAAATTCCAATAGCATAAAAAAGAAAAAGAAAAAAAAAGTGAGATATAAAGCTAACATGTATATTCTTTTTTTAAAGAATAAATTTGTTTATGGAAACCATAGGTTCATCTTGAAGACAATGATAAAGAAAAGAAAATTTTTCATTAACAGAAAATGTTTAGTATTCAAAGATGCTAAAATATGCAACAATGTTGTTAAGAGAGGTAATTCAGTCAATGAAAAACATTTGACACTAGTTCATTTAGTACAATGTTCACATAATTCACAAAAATACAGCTGTCAGCCAGTGAAGGGCAAGATGATATTATACCCTTAAATATTCTTCTGTAAGTTCTCAGATAAAAATAAGATGCCAAAGAAGCCACTTATCAAAGGTCTGCTGATCACTGGATTATAAACACCTAACTTTAGACACTAAACACCCAAGTCAGCCTTATTGTGGCCTTTGAGCTGATTATTCATCTAGAAAGCATTTACTGAGTATCTACATTAGGTAAAAGGACACCTCACCACACAGAATAAGCAGGTAAACATCAAGCACACAGTGACAACACATGGAGAAGAATGCCAGCCAGGGAATGACTCAGGTCTGTCACTTAATATTTTAAGCCTCCAACTGCCATGTGTCCTTGGACTTCTCACTTTGTTTGAAGCTATAATTCTGAAACAAGTACTTTGCCCAAGACTTTCTTACTAAATCAGAACAAAGGTAAATTCCTGGGGTACTCTCATATTGCTGGTAGGAGTTGTAAGTTGGTGAAAACATTTTTTACCAACTGCTAAAGTGTTTGACAACATTTGCTAAAGCTGAGCACCCCCCTACACATAAATCATGCATTTTTTTTTCCTATCAATTCTATTCTAGGCACCAATCCAGCAAAATGAATTCCAAAAGAAATGTGTAAGAATGGTTGCAGCCAAACTTTTTTTTCAAATAGTACAACAGATCCATTGTAGTTTATTCATACATTAGAATACTTCACAAGGGGCCAGGGATTTAGCTCAGTGGCTCTGTGCCTGCCTTGAAAGCGCAAGGTTCTGAGTCTCATCCCTGGTACCACAGAGGGGGTGGAGAATACTACACAGCTATGAGAGCAAAGGAACGATATACAGTAACATGGATCTTACAAACGTCTCTGCTTGAGCAATGGAAACCAGGTGCAAAAGAGGTACCCCCTGCACTACCCCATTACATAAAGCTCAACACCGACAAGACTAATCTGTAAGAAACTCCGACAAGCAGTTACCCCTTGGGGGAATAGCAGGAAGAATGCAAGGGGAAGCGCTGTGGGCTGATACTCTTCCCTCATCCAGGCGCTGGTTACACAGGCCCTGCTCACTTTGTCCTAACTGAATCTGCACGCTTATGATTTGTGCACTCCTTGGTAACTACTAGACTTCAATGAAAAATGACTCAAAAAATTCCTTCTCAAATTTATAATACAGTTGCTCTGCTGACACCACCCCACCAGTTCTTCGGGTTCCATTAAAATCTCCACATGAGCAGTGGGCCGAGGGAAGGCAAACACAACAGAGATGACAGCTCAGGGCAAGTGCTCCTCCACTCCCCAGCCCATGACGGAGGCAGCACCGACACGCCCTGCGCCGCTTCCCCTCGGTGCACTCTTCCCACGCTCACGATGGAGACAACGGATCTCTCCGTCCCTCCCACCCGTGTTGCAAAAAGTGCTACAAGGACAGTGCTTGCCGAGAAAACACAGGCAGCTGATTCTAAAAGCAAACCTAAGACAAAAAGACAACTCTCATGTGGGCGTTCCTCCTACCAGTTGTTCGCCGTTGTAGTGACCTTCGATTATCCGATCATAGGAGATCCCAACAGGTATCACCAAGAGGTCCGGGATGGTATTGGTAGCCAGAGTGTCCACCACCACTGACAGGAGTCCTGCCCGAGCACAGGAGGTCCTGCCGCTCCTGGAGCGTGTGCCCTCCAGGAAAATCTCCAAGAACTGCTGCTGCCGAAGTAGTTCAACTATGTGCTAGGATATGAAGAGACAGGAGAGCATGAATTTAAGGTCACTCAGCCTAGAATGAGCTCAGAAAAATAGTAAGAAAAAAATTAACTTCACTACCAATAAAATATTTCACGCACATCAAATATAGCAAAGCAGCTCTGCCAACCTTAAGCCTTACTGACTAGAAAACATCAAGCTCATACTTAACGAGTAATCACTCGAATTACTCAGAGAACAGATTTTTAGAGATCTCAACTCAGCCAAGACTGTCTCCTTCCACCATGATAGCTACATAACGGCTGTAAGCATGATTCACGATCATACACACCCCGTGCAGCAAAGCTCTATAGAGAATATCTTTCCGTCCATCTGGTGTCTCGTCTAGCCTCCGTCGTATGAAAAAGCCCCCAAGCTTATGGATCAAGGTACTGTAAATTCAAGAATGCATGAATTATTTATAAGGAAAATGTGAAAAGGACATCAAATTCCAAGTTACTTCACAACATGTGCCATTGGATATAAACCACGGGTGTCGTTTGAGTGAAGCTGGAAGCGTAGACTTTCATTTTCCCCGTTACTAACATGTTTCGCCCATTTACATTCCTAAGCAGCCTTTGGAAGATTACGCCATAAAATGAGGGTTTACCACAGTGGTTCCAAAGCAAAAGGAGTTTGGATGTATCACTCCACAAAAGTAACGGTACAGCCTGTAAGAGAATCCTCTAAATTTTAGGCCCTATCCATTCTCATGACACTGACCCTCCGACATGCTGAAATCTGTCCACAGCAAGTTTACTACAAAGCAAAAAGCTCCTTTGAGAAAAGGAGTGACTATTGCTTAAAGAGGTTCCCTGTGAGAAGAGAACAGTTTTATCAAACTGAAACCAAGCATAATCTTTACAAAATATGCAACAAATGCCTTTCATTTACACATACATGGAATCAATTACGTTCACAACCCTATGTCTTTCTATAACTGATGAATTCTGACATGAAGTTGAAATTTCCAAATGTTCCAAATTCACAACCCCTTCCTCTTCTATTCAAATAGAATAATACTAATATAAATAGGAATAAACATCAAGAGTAACACCATTTTAATCTATATTTTGGTAGCCTCCACAGTCAGTATAATGAGCCCACATTAAGATATGCCAAAGCTTAATATCACTTCTTGAAATTAAAACTCTATAAAATATACTCGTGGGATGAGCTGTTCACAAAAATAATACAGTGTTTGTGACTTTGTAGGCTGGAATGCAACACAAGAAAGCCCCAAATAAACAGGCTGTAATGCTCAGTGTGTTAAGTCTGAAGGAATCTACAGTTTGCTGTCTGAAGATACGATGAGCTAAGTGTGGATTAAAAAGTTTATGAGAAGTTTAGTTATAAGAAATGATGATTTATTAAGAACTTTCAAAAGATCCTAGTTGAGAGCCAAACATGAAGAAGGTAAGAGTATGTGAGTTATCCTGATTACTACAGGCAAGGTTTCTCTGCAGCCCCTATGAAACAGTCCTTTTCCCTCTGAGATGTGCCTACCAGCAACTTTCTAATGACTTTCTAATCTGGCTTACCAGGATCTTGGAGAGAAAGTGAACCTTGGCAGAGGTGCCCAGGAGAACATACAGGAATTCTAACCCCAGAAAGGGACATTTGCCCTGCAGGGTTCTATCACAGTATACTATAGACAGGAGCCTACTTCTCTGCTTCCCCACGGGACTATAGGCTATTTGATAGCAGAGACTGTGTCTAAAGCACAGCTGGATAAATATCACTGACTGTATGAATGCACAGCTTCTTTTCTGATCACGAGTCTGACTGGCTACAGAACTCTCAAAGCGTAGAGAACACCGAGCCATGGGATCAAGGAAGAGCTCCCCAGATTGTAAAGCAGAAGCTCAGACTTACGAGCACACAGAGGTGATGATGCCACCTCATGAAACTCTACCTGCATAACGCGCCAATGCACACTCCTACTCTTTCTCCAAATTCATCTTCCTCTTACTTCTGTTCACAGGGCTCACCTTAGAGATGTTTTGTGCTTTGAAGTTCAAAAGTTCAATTTCTCCAACTGGCTCAACCTGCTCCTCTCCAATTCTTCCTTGGTGATCAGACCCACGATCTACCCAGCTTCCTTGGTGGAAAACACCTGGAAGTCTCATCTGACCCCCTGCTACCGAGCCCCAAGTCAGGACAGCACTGAGTCTTATAAATCCAACTTACTAAAAACTTTTCAAATCTATGCAGTCCTCTTAAGACCACTGTTACACTTGCATTTAAACCTTCATTTTTCCTCTAAACCAGTGCTGGTGAACCTTTCAGAGCCTTCAATGATAAAAACGGCCTGCTGCGGCACACATGCCAAAGGTTTGCCACCACTAGCCACTGAGCTAAATCCCAGAACTCCTTTTTTTATGTTTATTAAGTTTATTGTACATTTTAGTTATATAATAGTTACATTCATATTGGGATCTTGTACCTTTACATGGCTTACCTTCGTTCTTATTTTCCCCATTCCCCAGCCCTCCCTTTAGCCCCTCTGCCCTTCCCTATTCATAAAGACATTGTTTCCATGTTTTTCCTTTTCACATATTTTTTTCTTTTCCCTTTTTACCATTCCCCTACCCCTCCCACTTCCTCTACTCTTTTAAAGACTTTTCTTCCTATTACACAATATCAATTATACATTTTGATCCTTATTTATACTTTTACTTTATTACACCAGAGAAACTATTCCGTATTTACATGTGACTTATTAATTTCACTTGAGTATGGCCTCAGTGTACATCCACTAGCTATAAATCTCTCTAGTTTCTCATTCTTTATGGCTGAGTAGTATTCCATTTATTTTTTTAAAAATCTTTATCCAGTCTCCAGTTGATGGGCAACTGGGCTGTTTCCAAATTTTAGCTGTTACAAACTGTGCCGTTATAAACATGGGTGAGCAGGAATCACTGTGATATATTCTTTTCTTCTGGTTAAGATACCCACAGAGGAATAGCTGGGTCAAATGGGACTACTAATCCTACTTGTTTGAGGTATTTCCATACTGATTTCCACAATGGTTGCAGCAGTCTGCACTCCCACCAACAATGGAGAAGGGTTCCTTTCTCCCCACAGCCTCACCAGCATTTGTTATTGGTTGATTTCTTGATAGCAGCCATTCTTTCTGGGGTCAGGTGGAATCGCAGTGTTGTTTTCATCTGCATCTCTCAAATGACCAGTGATGGTGAATATTTTTTCATGATTATTTTTTGTTATTTCTTCTTTGTCTGAGAAGTATCTTTTCCTTTCAGATGTCCATTTTTTAATTGGGTCTTTATTTTGTGGGGGGTCTGATTTTTTTTTTATTCTTTATATATTCTAGATAGTAGACCTTTGTCTGAGGAACAGCTGGTAAAAATGTTTTCCCATGTCTTTTAGTTCTGCTTGTGATTTCTCTGGCAATGCAGAAGCTTTTTAAAAAGATGAGATCCCAGTTGTTGATTTTTGGTGCTAGTTCCCATGCTGTTAAGGATTTATTCATAAAGTCTTTTCCTATGCCAATATCTTCAAGTGTTATACCTAATTTATCCTCCAGCAAGTTTAGTGTTTCTGTTTTAATATTTATATCTTTAATCCACTTGGGTTTTAGTTTAATGCATGGTAAAAGATACAGGTCTAGTTTTAATCTTTGACAAGTTGAAATCCAGTTTTTCCAACACCATTTATTAAAGAGGCTATCTTTCCTCCCTTGAGGGTGTTTGGCTCCTTTGTCAAAGATGAGGTAGCTGAGTATGTGTGGAGTTGTTTCTGCATCTTCTAATCTGTTCCACTGACCCTCTATCTGTTTCTTTGCCAGGACCATGCTGTTTTTATCACAGTGGCTTTATGGTATAGTTTCATGTTGGGGATTGTGATACCCCTTGTCATGTCTCTGTTGCCTAAAATTGCTTTGGCTATTCAAGGTCTCTTCTGATTCCAAATGAATTTTTGGATTGTTTTCTCTAGTTCTGTGAAATATACTGTTTGAATTTCAATAGGGATTGTACTGAATCTGTATAGCAGTTTTGGAAGTAAGGCCATTTTCACTATATTGATTCTTCCTACCCAGGAACAAGGGATGACTTTCCATTTTCTCACATCCTCTTCAATCTCTTTTTCCAGAGTGTTATAGTTCTCAATGTAAAGGTCTTTTGTTTCCTTTGTTAGATTAATTCCTAGATATTTCATTTTTTGGGGTGCTATTGTGAAAAGGATTGTTTCCCTAATTTCACTCTAAGTCTATTATTTGTGTACAAGAAGGTGATTGATTTTTGAGTGTTTTACTGAATCTGTCAATTGCATCTAGAAGTCTTTTGGTGGAGTTTTTGGGTTTTCTCTGTAGAGTAAGTATCATATCATTAGCAAATAATGACAGTTTCACTTTTTCCTTTCCTATCTCTATTGCTTTTATTTCTTTCTCTTGTCTAATTGCTGTGGCTACTGTTTCCCAAATTATTTTGAACAGGAGTGGTGATAATCTGCATCCTTGTCACATTCCCGACTGTAGCGTGAAGCTTTTCAGTTTTTTACCATTTAGTATGATGTTGACTGTTGGTTTTTCATAGATGGCCTTTATCAAGTTGAGATAAAGACCATCTACCCCAATTTCCTGCAGGGTTTTATCAGGAATGGCTGTTGAATTTTGTTGAATGCTTTTTCTGCATCTATTGAGGTGATCATATGGTTTTTGTCCTTGATTCTGTTAATGTAGCGTATTACATTTATTGTTTTATGTATGTTGAACCATCCTTGCATCCCTACGATAAATCTGCCTTGGTCAGGGTATATAAACTATTTTAACAGGATCAGAATTAATTTAACTCCTTCTAAACTAGAATGACCTTTCCAAATGCAAATGTGAACATGTCATAACTCAAGAACAGGAGACTCTCAACTCTCAGCTTAGAACTTGTTTTGATACAGCTCTCGCTACACATGTAGCTACCACCTCCAGACACCGATTCTTCCTCCCAAATTCTGTGTTCTAACATCAACTAAATACTCATCACTTACCAATCACCCATGCTTTTGAGTCTCTCTGCCTTTGCAAGTACAGTTTCCTCTGAATGGAATGCACTGCACTCTCTGAAAACCACTATAAATCACCTTTAATATTACACTGTACTTTATCCTAGTCTGCTAAACTGCAGGGTCAAAGTAGCAGTGACACTTATTCTTATTCACCTTTCTGCTAACACCAGCATATCACCTCCCTGCTGACAAGCTTGGTAATTTGCCATCTTGCCCTTCTTCTAATTGTCCTTTATTTACTTGATAAATGTTGCCTCTCAAATTTAGATTTTCATAGTTCAGCAAACATCCCAAATAAAGTACAAAAATAGCAGTCATAATCTTAATATTATTCTGAATTATCTAAATTTTATACACTAAACAAGCACTATTTTTATAATGAAAGAGAAAGGCCTAATGTCATCTTTAAAGTAATATGTATCAAAAAGAATAACAAAAAATTCAAAACATAATCTTTTCAATATCATAGATATCCAAATTACTGATCTCACCTGAAGATTGGGATGTTGAGATTATTGCCAGAAGCAATATATGGTGCCTTGATGTTATGGCAGAAGAGAATGAAAGTGACCAGCAGGTAGTCAATGTGAGATCTGTGGACTGGTAGAAATACAAGTGGCAAATTTGTCTAGGAGAGAAAGAAATACCAAATGTGAGTTTCAAATATAAAGTACAGTCACGTTTTGCAATTGCACTTTGGTTAGAGTGACTCAAACAATGGCAAATCAGTGACTCACTCTTTTAAAACATTTTCCAACAAAATATTTAACACTGTCTTTCAATTTAATACTTATGTAGCTAAACACAAAAACAGCTCAAAGAAGAATAATCAAGAGTTCAAGATGACTCTGTGTCTCCTCTGAGCAGCAGCCCTCATCATGTAAAAAGAGGAGGGGTTTTGGCAGTGAGACTTGGTTTGAAATTCTGGGCAAATCACTATCTGTGAAGGGATAATTTCTTAACTTATGTGGGTCTTATTTCCTTAAGTCAGAATTGTCTCCCTGATTTTTAGGGTTGTTGGAAGGTATACTGCAAAGGAATCTGACAGATTGCTGATAGGTCCTCCATCCCCCCACACATCCTCCCCACATACAGATAGTGCCTTTATCACAAAGGGCAGCAATTTCCAAATGGGCTGAAATATACCAGAGTACATAAGACGTTATTTCTAAAACCTCTGACCGCATTCTACAAACATGGGAAAATTAAGGGACAGAGTCCCAGAAAGTCTTGCCTCAGTTGCAGCCTTAACCATCTCAAGTTGACCCTTGTGAATCTGAATGTTCCAGAAGAAGCTGTTGAACAGTTTTAGCAGCACCCACCCAGTCAGTCTGAAAGAAAAGACCAAAACGTAAAGCCATACATACACATCTGTATACGTGCATATGTACATAGTGGACTTTTGTCTACTTGAGCTTCTGAACCTACAACCTGAGAGTACTTCGAAATCCTTGGCAGAGGTGTGTGCAAGTCTGTGCTTCTCACTTGCAGGATTGGTGGGCTAACTTTAAATGCACGCTGCTTACACAAGTACCCATTTATTATGGACTAAAGTCACAGTTCACTCTAATAACACTCTTACTTCAAAGGCAAATGCTCCAGCTAATATTTACTGAGCAGATGATCCCCGCACCCACACAGACCATGCCCTTTAAGGCACAGATGTGAGGCCTGACTCACGTCAGGACAGCAGATGTCAGCAATAATAAAAAGGCCGCCAGCAATTAGCAGAGTCTGAGGCATCTTGAAGCACCACAGTTTCAACCCTGTTTGCCCACACAATGGCCATGGTGGAAAGCATTTCCCTTGACTTTTAATACCTGATCATCCCTGGTGAGACAGTGGCAACCATTTCCTGAAGGATCTTTCTGGCTTTCTTTTTCACTTTCTGGACAGCTTTGGACTGCTGCTGGGCAGAACCATCTGGGTTCAGTTCAGCAGCCACTTCAGCAATTGCCTCTTGTACTCTGATTTGGAAATGGAAACACAATGTAACCAGTTATATGTTACCTTGTATTTTTAATATTTTCTGAACCACAATAGCTTCTCAGCCTTTTGGCTAAGATCAAGTGTAAACTGCAACTATCACAAGACAAAATCTGCCTTACTTTCAATAAACATAACACAAGAGATTAAGCTCTTTGCAAATGATCTTCCCTCCAGGTGAGGTGGTGCACACCTATAATCCCAGCACAGGGGAGGCTGAGGCAGGAGGATTTCCGAGTTTGAATTTAATTCTAGCTAGGCGTGGTGGTACATGCCTATAATCCTGGCACTGGACAGTTGAGGCAAAAGGATCACAAGTTCAAGGACAGGCTGGGCTACATAGTGAGACCCTATCTCAAAAAACAAAACAAAACAAAATTTAATTCTAATTCAATGAGTGACAACTATATGTATTTGAATGTTTCGGTAATGTTGTGAAGATACAAGTTGCACTGTAGCCAAAAAAAAAAAAAAAAAAAAAAAAAAAAGAAAGGTTACCCCTTGGGGCAAATAATTCCAAAAATCCACTGCCAAAGTACTGTGTGTTTTTCCTTTTGAAATTCTAATTTACTACTGATTTATATTGTCATCTCACTAGCAGAACCATATGTAAAATTCTCTGGGAAGTATCAAAGAGGGTCATAAATATTTATAAATGTTTTCAAATCAAATCAGAATTTTAAAAAGGTACAGCTGAAGAATAAAAGAGCACTAAGTAATAAGAAGTTAGATAAAAGGAAAATTTTAATCCATTTTGTAAGTCTTACACTTGAAACAGGCAAGAAAAAAGGAGGTTAAACTTCCTTAAACCACATTAACATCCCAGTGACTTGTCAAAACACGCGGATGGAATGAAAGTAGGAAACAGACCATTAAGAATCCAAGAGAATTTCAAATAATTGTATTTTCTCACACCACTGCTGATTTTTTTTGATAAATTTTAATTTGGCCCATTGCTACTGATTTTCACCTAACAAAGTACAGTGAAACTCCGCATAATCCCATAATCCATTAACTTTAAAAGACCAATTCCAAAGACAGATGCACCCAGTCTATTTTTTGAATAGCATGCATTGCATGTGCCCAGGAATGTTTTACAAGTATGTAGCATGACTATTATATCTCTATGATCAACTATTGACTCATTCATTCAATAAATATGTGCCAGCACTGTTGAACTTTTAGCAATAGCACCACAGGGTCTTCAAATGGCCCTAGGGAAGTCAAAGCGGTTTTTCAATCCACCCTGTCTCTTGTCCCCAAATCCAGCTAGATCCCTACAAGGAACCACACCGATGAGGCCAAACAGCAACTTTCACCCAAACTCCTACATTTGTTTCTCTCCTCCCAAAACCACAGCAAGGGTCTCCACAATTCCCTTACCTGGCTAAGGAAACCTCTTCCAAAAGAAATGCAACTACCTTAAACTCTTAACTCCTTCTCTAACATCTCTCAGAACTCAGGATAGGTTGACCACCAGAGAAGAGAGGCGATGAGAAGCCGTCACATTTACACAGACTTGTCACCCCCTCTTCTGAGGGCAGCTGCCACAGACTACCTGGACCCGTTTATCTGTGTGAGACACTCTGCTCCCTGCAGTGCCCTGCCCCTCACCCAACGCCTCCACAGCCCATAGGAACTTTGCTCCAACCTACTGCCTGTTCTCCTGCCTCATTCATAATCCCAGGAATAGAACTTAGTCCACCTAAAACTGCCTCCATCCCCCCATCTCTCTCCCCTAGGAGGAAGGATGTATACATTTCTGAATCTCACTGGGCTCATGGGTAGTCACCCTACTGTGACACCAGCACATGTTGATAAATTCAGATGCCTTTTTCTTCTGTTAATGTGTTGTTAGTTCATTTCAGGGAACCTTCAGAAGGAAAGGAAAATCTCCAACTTCATTCCATCAGGGTCCAAGCTGTCCTTTAGTTGCAATCAAGCCCCTCTAAGAGCAAACAGCCTCTTACTCTTTTATTATTTGTGATCACTTACTACTACAGGAATTTGCCCTAGGTACTCAGGAACTGACAAAAACATCAAGCTCACTTCTCTTTTGGCTGTGTCCCAGCATTCACATTACAGAAAACTCAAAGAGCCCTGGAACTCTGTATGCATATCTGAACTGACTCACAACTTGCCTTTCATGTTCTGGCAGCTTATTCAGTTATCAGTCCATGAACCAGAACTAGTCTTCCTACACGGTACCATTCACCAAAACCATCCACTCCCCCACCTTTCCTGAGTTTCCTTCAGAGCTTAACATTTAATGTTCAGAGATGCAAGCACTTCTCAATCTGGGGTCCCAGAAACCACGGTTAACGAAAAGGCTCTCTTCCTCACTCCCACCACACAGCCCCTTCTCATCCCACCTCGACAACAGTGTCCTCGCTCTCACCTGCTGCTGTTCAGCACATTCTCTGTCACGCTGGTGGCAAACATGCCCTTGTGGACATCCCGCTCTTGAATAAAAAGAACATAAGAAAGACGTCTTGCAAGCCATCCTCGGTGCCTGCAATACAAGAACAATTTACCAGCAAAGTACTGAAGCAGCACCTACAACAAGGTGCTTAAACAAAGCAGCAGCTCCTCCCATAAAAATAAAGCCAGTTTCCAATATTTAGGGTTTTCTTATAGCAATTTTCCTTGCTAGTTCAGGATATATTAAGAAGCCAATTTTACTCCTAATTTTTTTCATTTATTCTCAGGTAAAACTGGAACTCATAATTTGTGTATTAATACTCAAATAGTCTTATTTTGCTGAATAATAACCCTAATATAAAAACAAATAAAATTTGAATTTATTAATACAACAAAAAAGGTAAATGTTTTCAATGCTATATATGTATAGATATAGACAGGTAAGCAATATAACTTATAGCTAGATCTATGGGATATCAAAAAGATAAACTTGGAAGTCTTTTCCTATAATGGTTATTTTTATTGATTCTTAGAGAAGTTTCTCTAAGATAATCACTGACTCTCCAACTAAGAGCTGATCAGATAAAAGAAGTTAAGCAGAACTAGTCTATGATCTGAGTATCTGAACTCTGGGTTTAGGAAGTGAGCAGTTATTTTTCTCTTTTAAACACACATTCAACAGGACAGTCTTGTCAGTAACAGTAACTCTACACTGTTTAGTTGGGGAGATGTGGATATGGATTTCAGAATAAGAATGCTGCAAGTCCTCATTGCGTGATGGTTTAAAATCACCTGTAACGATTACACAATGCTGCATTATCACCTCCCTCCAGTGATATAGACAGTAGGTGATTTCAACTATAAACTGACTAAAGATCCAAAGATAACTTGATAGAGAACTGTTTATGGACCACAGCTCCTTCATCTCTTTCTTGACACTTTTTTCTTCCTCTTTTCCTGTCTCAATATTCTAAAATTTTAGCCCAAGATGAGCGTGGCAGCACACGTTTATAATCCCAGCACTCTGGATGCTGAGGCAGGAGTATCACTGTGTGTTAGAGGCCAGCCTGGGATACAGAGTGAGTTCAAGACCAGCCTGAACTTCACAGCAATAACAAACAAGCAAAATCCTTAAACCCCAGTACCAAAAAAAAAATTTTTTTTGAATAAATATAAAAATTTAACCCAATATGTTAAGTGTTCATCCTAAACTCTTCTGTCGGTGAACATTTTCAGAATTGTTTCTAGAATATACAAAACTCAACCTGTCTATGAAATCTCTTTGCAACTGACTAAAAAGTACGAGTGTACATGAGTGTGTGTACAAAAGCATGTGTGAGTGTACGTGATTGAGAGTATAAGAGAAACCATGCATGCATGAGCGTGTGTGTGTAAAAAATATTCAGACATCCCTTCATATAACAGATAAACTAAATAGCTATACAGGCAGCTTATTTCATTGAACACTCCCACACTGCCACGTCAATTTGGCCAATGCTATTTTTTTTAAATGCTTCCATCTGTGGGCAACAGGCAAACCTTTGGTTTTATACATAAAAGGTCTATTTACATTAAGAAGAAAATACCCCATCCTTTGTGTGAGGCTCTTAATCATATTAACTAGAAAAAAGAAAACAACACTTCAATGTAGGTGAGTCTCTCCTCTCGAAGTTTAAAAGACAGAGAGTGTGAAGAGTAGCCCAGGAGTGGGTGGGGGAAATA